CAGGCAGCGTTTCCGAGCTGTGCCACGGCGGGCGTGAGAGCCTGAGCAGACGGTAAGAAACAAGGACTACTTTCTTTTTCTCCCGAGGGAAACGAGTTGGTTGAAAGGTGAGCAGGAAGCAAGGGAGCACTGGAAAATCCCCTCTGCTTTCTGGCTTGCCGTCTGAGAGAGGTTCGAGGTGCGCCAGGTTTGATGTATAACCTCTCTGGGAAGCTGGGAGGTCTGACAAAGATAGCGCTGCCCACTAGCACTGGGGGGAAGCAGGAAGTAGCAAAGGAAACCAGTCATTGCCTAGGCGTCCCGTTTGGCCGCCCTGCAGCGCGGATGCACAAGCAGTCGGGGCAGGGTTTCTCTTCCTCCTGTGTGCTGAGCGTACAGCAGCTCTCGCAGTCACGTTCAGCCTTGCACTGCGCGGACGGGGAGAAGCGCAGCGATGTTCCTGTCATGCCTGAGAGGGGTCGTAAGTTATTAATGGCTTTGTCGTCCCAGAGGAAACAATCGTTTGGCGGTCAGCAGTTGTGTCGGTCAGGCACGGTCACCAGGTTAGTGCGTGTGTGTGGCTCGTGTTTCTGTCATCTTTTCGCTTTTAGGTAGAGAGCAGACTAAAACAAGGAGAACAACATTGTATCTGGGGGAAAATACTTCAGACTCATGCAGAAAATTCAAGGGTAAAGAATCAGAGGGGAAGAGTTGAGGCGTGTGTGGTGAAAACATTTGCCAGAAAAGAAAAGCAAGTTGAAGCAAGTTCAACTGAGTAAATTTGCTTCCAACAGTGTATCTCCGTCGGGCTTAGTCCTCTGTTCCCTTTGTCCCCTAAGATTTATTTGCCTTCACAGTGTTTGTACTGTGCTATTAGTCCTTCTGAGAGGCTGTTGTGAAAGGGGCTGTTACAAGTATTAAGAAATGGAATGTGTCACCAAAAAAGCGGGAGAGCTTGTGGAAGAGTAGTTCAGAAATACTGGAGAATGGTGAATAAATGGAAGAGAGACCTGAAAATCTTGCGGAAAGCCGTGTTAAGAACAGATGTTCAACGTTTAGCTGTCTGAATTGGAGAACTAGTTCTTGTTCAGGGTTGCTGAGAGAGAGCACATCGGGGAAGCTTTCATTTTACAGTTTTGCTGTATCTAATGCCTCATTTCTGGTTAAGCCTCTTGTAGAGACTGAAGCTGCAGTCTCCCCCTGCATTATATGAGGAATAGATTTGTGTCTGGAAGTTCTATGTTATATATGTAATATTACATGGAAGTTACATTCAGAAGGAAACTAGCATCTTGCTTTGCCTTTTACTTTCAAAATAGAATTGCAAGACTGGAAGTTAAGATATGGTGGAGTTTAAAATGTTCTCGGCATAATTGGCATAGAGATTCTTGTTACAAATTCAGATCAGGTTTCATTTTTGTACTGCAACTTTGGAGGCTGTTTTGTATTTGTGTGCAGCATGACCAAACTGGGCTCCAGGACAGACCATAAATAATATTATAACAAGTGAGAACTTTGAATACAACTTTTGGCAGCTTTAGTTTGAGAGATGAGGGTCATGAGTTTTTATGCCCATATACCACAAGATGTGGAGATGATCACATCTGCCATATGTTCTGCTGAAGTTAAGCAAGAGCTGAGGACTCTGGCTCTTCCAGGATGCAATCCTTAGTTGAATCAGCTTGTATTTGCTTTAATTGGGCTGAACGCCATAGCTCTTAAGGCCAAAAAGGGGTAAGAGTTCTTCTGTAATGTAATCCAGATTTGTAATATTGCAGAATTTTATTTTTACTTGCAGATGGACTTCTAGCCTGTGAAGTTGTGCCCTAGCCTCCAATCTAGCTGTTCTATATATGCTGGCTGAGGGGATAGGTTAAAATTACTTCACAGATGTATGTGTTTGCATACTGCACTGTAACAGAACTCTACTCTCCATTTGGAGTTTGAGCTTGGTAAGAGTACTGTTATGATTCAGAAGATACTTCTGTACTAGCCACGTTACACAGTGCAGCGTGTAATTTCGCTTTTTTTCATGCTGTTGTGACTTTCATGGTATTTATCACAACGGGCTGGCTTTTATTTTTGTGTTTGAGAAAAGTATACTCGTGATAGGCTTGGCCTAACTTTACTGATGCAGTAACGGTACACTGCAGATGGGTTTGGTTTTGGAGTCTGGCAGACCAGTTTGTATATATGAAGTGATTACAACAGTAATTGTGTAAGTTCTGTATATTCCTGTCACACCCAAGAGTTGTGTCTTTCCAAAAGCGCTGTGGAATGATGAAGCAATTCCTATAAAGTGCTGTTCAACCATTTCTCCTGCTACACTCGAAGGCCTATCATCTCCCTCACGGGCATAAATTATCATGGGGGTCATCTCAGAAACAGTGATGCGAGGCCTTTCACTGCCTGCTGTCATCCTCTTCGGGTTCAGAGGCTTCTGTTCAGGGCTGTTGCAGTGGGGAGAAGATTGATTCAACAGCCACTTATAATGGGGTTTGGGCCCTGGGGGAAAATGTAAATTTAAAACATGCATCTAGTCCCTTGGTGAGTGGGAAGAAGAATCAAGTGTGTGGCTGCTACTAGAAGCTTGCACAAGACCATGAGTGGGGCTGTCACCTCCTGTGCTGGGGAGGACCGGTGTCGGAGAGCGTGGCTTGGCTCTTATCGCACTTAGTGGGCCCTTTCTGTTAACTTCAGTGTCAGCTCTTTGGAAGAGGGACAGGCACCCAGCTTCTGCACCCGGGCTGAAAACGTGTAGTGGGCTCTCTGGCTCGCAGTGCAAGAATGTGACTGCGTAAGGAACAACTTGGAAATGCCGTTCTTGAGGATCATGGAGCTAACAGGCTCTGCAGTGACTTCAGTGCTTGCTATTGATCTGTTCCTCATGTAGTAGTTTAAAAAAATTCTACGAGGAATATCAAGAGTGGAAGGAACTGTTTCAGTGAGCTAAAGGCAACCATATTGTGGATGCTAAGACCAGAAAAATCTTGAAAAGCATCCTTTTTTTCTTTCCTCCCACCCCGACACTAAATATCCTGCGGTTACTTTGTTTTGACACCTTTCTCCCAGCAGCTTGATGCAAAATAGAATCATAGAATCACAGACTGGTTTGGGTTGGAAGGGACCTTAAAGACCATCTAGTTCCAACCTCCCTGCCATGGGCAGGGACACCTTCCACTAGACCAGGTTGCTCAAAGCCTTGTCCAGTCTGGCCTTGAATACTTCCAGGGATGGAGCATCTACCATAGGATCTAGTGTGTCTCCAGAGTTGTTTGGTACTGTCAAGAAAAGAAGAAAAATTTGCTTGGGCCTAGATTGCAAGAACTTAAATGGATTTGAGAAGCCTAACTCACACATTTCAGTTCAGAATGCCAAAGTCCTCCCTATGTGTCTGTGAATGGAAGTGCCTGAGGAGCCTCACAGATGTGATGGGGAGCGCTACGAGTCAAAAGGAGATGCAGAAAATGGGCACTGCAGCCTCTAAATCGATTGAGAAGCCTGGTAGAGTACGTGGGCTCTTTAGCTCATCAACTGTCTACTTGGTTGCGTGGAGTTCAGCTGCATTTCCTCTTGTTCGCTTAGCTGGGATGGGGAAGTTGTGAGGCTTGGTCTCTATTCTCGGGGAAGTTGTGAGGCTTGGTCTCTATTCTCGGGACTGTTCTATAGGGAGTAGTCAAAAGCCAGAAATGATCATGAACAGAGGAAGCAGAACCTGATACTCTGTTGTCCTTTCCCCTCAGTTAAATCCTATAGTCATCACCGTGTAGAATGGGATGGATTTTATTTCCCTCTGCTTCCATGATTTATATATTTTCTGTCTGCCTTGATATGCTGGCTTATCAGGTGGAGGAGAAAACAGCCCATCCAGGTGTGCTTTGGTGAGTAGTCTAACTACTCTGTTCCCGTACAGAGAGCTAAGTGACCTAGTTCAAATATTTGTTTTCTCTATTTACCTAGGGTGGGATACCCTTGTCCCCAGTGTTCGGCTTCTGAGAAGTCTCAGGTTACTGTTTGTTTTGGGTAACCTCTCCCAGAGCTTTAACTCTGCCTTTTCTTGATAGGTTTTCAACCGAAGTATAGGACACTGAAACAGTTTCACACCAGAGGCCGGGTGCTGAAGTTTCTTCTTCACGGAGAGGGTGGTGAGGCACTGGAACAGGTTGCCCAGAGAAGCTGTGGATGCCCCATCCCTGGAAGTGTTCAAGGCCAGGCTGGATGAGGCTGTGAGCAACTTGGTCTAGTGGAGGGTGTCCCTGCCCATGGCAGGGGGGTTGGAACTAGATGAGCTTTAAGGTCCCTTCCAACCCCAACCATCCTGTGATTCTATGTTCTTTGTAGTAAAAGCACACAGGGTTTGGAGACCTGTGATGGACTCGAAACTGTTGGATGGCATTGAGACAAACGTTAGAGTGAGTTCAAGAAAACTGATGTCAGAGTATATTTGTCTGAATAAAAAGGTTCCATTTTTAATTCTTCTTATCTGAATGTAACTAGAAACAGAATGGAATAACTTAATCATAAATTAATTTCCAATGATTGTATGTTGATGTGCCTGTTCTTAGAAGAAAATCTTAGCCCGGGACTTGCCTTGTGTTCCTCACTTTACGGAAGTCTCCTGAGCAGTACTGCAGGGTTGTTTGGCGTCCGCAGCCAGCTGGGTAATGCTCTGTTTCACTCCCTCTGACTTTGCCACAAGATGTGGAAAAATCATTTGGAAGGATTCTTTCTTGGAGGGGTGTGGGTGGAGTGTTAACTTTTGTTGCTTTGGTAATGCTTAAAAGCTTAAAATATCTGTGTGTAGCCCCTTCTTGGAACTGATAACACACTGCTGTTGCTAGAAACTTCACTGTGGGGGAGAAGGGATGAAGGAACAGCTCTGCTTGGGGAGTTCTCAGTCATATAATAAGAACAGGGAGGAAATAGCAGAAGGAAGAATAGAGCTGAACAGCAGAAGTAACTTACCTTTCAGTGAGCAGGAAGGTCCTGAGGGAAAATTGGGAAACCATGGTGCCTTGCAGTGTCTGCTGGGAGAACCTTTCCAGGCCCTTGGACCCTATTTTCTCTGCCTGTGCCTGCTCTACAACACTGGAGACTGAAACGTAATTTGTGTGATTAGCTTTTCTAGGCTGCCTGGCGAATTTGAGTTTAAACTCTCCTGCTTAAAATTCACAGAACCATAGACTGGTTTGGATTGGAAGGGACCTTGAAGATCACCCAGTTCCAGCCTTCCGCACCTACCTGAGCACTAGGTTCTTCAGCCTAAGATGGCAACTTGAAGTACCCATTCTGAAAAGAATAAGCAAGTGATACAGTTCTGAAGAGGGATTAACTGCAACAGTAGAGCACGTCTCCATTGATATGTGTTACGAAAAACAGAAATGCAAATCAATCCATCTTTCAGTAGATTAGTTTAGGATTTAGATCTAACTGCTCGCCCTTTGCTGATGATATGTGCTGTGGGGAGGGGTGGAAATTACTAGCAGTTTTTTTGTCCTGTAGTGACAGGACAAGGGGTAATGGGTTTAAATTGAAAGTGGGGAGGTTTAGATTAGATATCAGGAAGAAGTTCTTCCCAGAGAGGGTGGTGAGGCACTGGAACAGGTTGCCCAGAGAAGCTGTGGATGCCCCATCCCTGGAAGTGTTCAAGGCCAGGCTGGATGAGGCTCTGAGCAACCTGGTCTAGTGGGAGGTGTCCCTGCCCATGGCAGGGGGGTTGGAACTAGATGATCTTTAAGGTCCCTTCCAACCCAAATCCTTCAGTTCATGCATGATTTCGTTCCTGTATACACAGTAGGATTTTCAGCCTTGTTCTGTTACCAGTTGAAGGAAAGGTCTCATAGTGATATATCAGACAGAAAAGACTGCTGCTTAAGAAAGTGGGTTTTTTGTTAACTTGTTTTAAGACAACAGCAGACAGAGCGGTAGCTGCAAACCTGCTTGGAGCATGGCATTAATAACTGTTACAAGAATGAGATGGCAGCCTGCAGCAACCTGAGATGAACTTCATTTGCACGAGGCGCTGTCACATGACATCCAGTACAAGATTACATACTAACACTTCCATTCAGAATAAACCCTGTAAATATAGGGAGTAAGTAGTATTGGATACTGCAGTTAGTAAAATATGACTGTGTATTCCCTCATTATGCAGAAAATGACTACGTATATACACCTGTGGCATAGAAATTTGGAGAAGAAACCCATTTTCTTTCTAGTCACCTGCCTGGTGAAGTCTCACAGTGTTATCTGGGGCATTTGTAAAATGTAAATTCTTAAATAACACTTACTAAGCACTCTTCCATTGTTTCAACAACTGTCAATCACTTTTGAGAGCTGTATAAAAATAAATCGGGACTTTTTGCACCATGTTTTTTATACATTACAAACTTCCTGGAATCTATGAACACCCGTCTGTGCTACATACTTGAATGCTGAACCACGTTAGTTGTTTGGAAAGCTTGTTTAAGGAACCAAGCTTTGTTTCTCGGTAAAAGCTAAGTTTTCGACTGGTTTTAATTATTCTGCGTTGCAGAACGATGGCCTCGCAGGAGCAGGTCTGGCCAGTCCCAATGAAGGCAATTGGAGCACAAAACCTTTTGACAATGCCTGGAGGAGTGACCAAATCAGGCTATCTTCATAAAAAAGGAGGCACCCAGCTGCAGATCTTGAAGTGTAAGTTGAATGAGGTATTAACCAAATGTTTTAAATGCTTGCCTTTGGGGCCATTAACCCATTTCATGTTAGCAGGCTAGTAAACTGTTCATCCACTTAGTCTGTCCCTAATGCATTACGGTTTTACTGGAATATGTGTATGCCAGACCCATATTGAATTTCCTTGAATTGTTTTGGATCTGTGAATCTTTAATGGTCAATGTTGTGGTTGATTTTCTTTTACTTGGTTAAATCTCTTGTCAAGTTCTTCCCAAGTGAGATTTGAAAGACAGAAATAGGTGCCCGGGATATGTATCAATTTCAAATATTCTTTTCTAAAAGAAATAAGTACTCAGCTTTTTTTTTCCAGTATGTTATTCTGTACTGGAAAAATATCCCCATCTCCTGCTGTTGTTGTGAAATGGAAATTTTCTGACTGCCAACATTAGTCTGTACTTAGAAACAGTAATTGCTTTTGGAATCAGAACCTATTTACATGGAGAAAGCGTAAGATTTTGGGTTTATTGATATGCCTACTCATTTGCTACCCCTGTTTATAAACAAACTATACTTACATAGTTAAGGACCAAGATTAGAGCCTTTGGTAAAGAAGTAGTGTTGGTCCCCTTAAAAAAAGAACAGAAACCATCGGTTTAATTGGCAGCTTTATGTACTTGAGGTGAAAGAACAGAGGGAAGTACCTCACAGACATAAATATGTATTTGTAGCCTGTGGCTGCCTTCCTCCAATTTTGTGTAGGTTGCGCTTTTAATTAGCGAATTCCTCTAGTAAAGGAGCACAGGGGGAGGTCAGACCTGCAGTCTCTTAGGCTTCTGTTGAAGTTACCAGATGAGCTGCCTCTGGAATGACAGAAGTAAATACGACCCTTAGTCCTGCCACTCTGTGAATGGACAGCTTTACCATGTGACTGATCATCAACAGGCTGTCACTTAACTAGTTTGTGCTCTTTTGTAACGATTGAGATTCCTAATATCTTGAACATTAATTCTACCCAAGTTACGAGGTTCTAGTTAACGTACTACCTCTGGATTTATATTTTGCTCACTTTTTGTCTGTATCTTTTCAGGGCCCTTGAGATTTGTGATTATCCACGAGGGATGTATTTACTATTTTAAGAGTAGCACATCTGCATCTCCACAGGGTGCATTTTCTTTGAATGGTTACAACAGGTGGGTGCCAGAGAACTTACTTAACACCGGAGCTTCTTTTACTTAATACAGGGGGCTAGTGTCTTCATTTCCAAGTAAGTTAAACACAACTACCAGATTCTGAGAGATGTATTCCTCTCAAATTGCACATATGATGTTTCCTGTGCTTTGCAAGTGCATAGCCTTCCTCTGTTGGAACTAAACCAGTAAAGCTGTTAAAACTGCAATGGCCTTACTCTTGTTACTGGCTTAATGCAGACTTTGCACATGCAAATAGATGTGGATTCTTTCAGACAAACAATCTTTGTTCTCTAGTTATTTCCATGATCTTCACAAAAATAGGAAGGAATGGGAAAGGAATATTTATGGAGCTACTGATTCAGTAACACTCATTGGTGTCAAAACTGAATCAGCTACAGGAGCGATAAATGAGAGAATGCGTGTGCGAAATGTCTGACTCATTTTGCTACACCTTATAAATCTTAATTATTTTGCTTTTTAAGCTGAAGACAAAAATGGATGGCTTTCAAGTTAACCAGCGCTGTCGGAATCTGACTGAGTGCAGCATGCATACAAGGCCTGCTAGTAGAAGCCTAACCTAACTTTAGGAAACTGCTGTTGTAATTCGTGCGAAGAAAGGACTAATGATAGAGAAAATGTAGAGAAATATTACATTATTGGTCTTAACCACTGCAACTTTATTGTATTTGTGAACATCTTGTTATTCTTGTCATGCATAATATTCTCAGACTTTTGGAATAAGGAAATAGCTTTTATTAGAATGTGAGAGCTTTATAACTGACCACAGCAATGGCATGTTTTATGGGGACGCAGTTTTAAACACTGTAGCTAAGTAAAAATTCAAGGTGAATTTGTATAAGTGACCTGTACTGTTACTTGGCCATGACCCTAACTTCTGTAATCACATAAATGTGAAAAATACCATGGAATTTGGAAATGCTGGGGACTGCATAATTTCTTTTTTATGTATCTGCATTCTGGCAGCCTTGTAGAGCGCTCGATCGGAACCGTGACTGGGTCGTGGCTAGTGGTACGCACAGGCATAAGCATTATTGAGAAAGAATTTGGAATTAAAAGAATTTGTTAAGACTGAGAAGTTGCGTAAGGCTGTGTGAAAACGAGTCACTCTAAGGCTTCCCTGGACTTTCATACTGGAGATGTCAATCAGCAGTGTTCATGTGTTAGGAGCGGACGGGAGCTGAGGAAGTGCTGAGTTCACCAGTGACGCCTATAGCTAGTAACCCTCCCAGCTGGACCATGGGTATTGCCCACAGTAATGTCCGTATTAGCCTGATGTTAGTCAACTAACTAACTTACAGTTCCTTTTGTGGCTCTGTTTTGGGCTGGGCAGAGGCAGAAGGCTACAGGCTCACACTTAAAAGGAGGATTGGGAGTCTAAAAAACCCTGGATCTCAAATTCTGAAGTAATTTTGTAGTTGACACAGTTTTTAATGGAGCTTCAGGATGTTGATTACATTTTTTTCTTGCTTCAAGACGATGTTGTCTTTATCAGGTACTTCACCAAATGCCAAATGTCTCTGAGAATCTTTTTTTTTCTATGTTTGCAAACCACCTTCCCTAAATATTAAGGACTTACGGAAAATAATGTATTACAGAGGAAATTGGTGAGCTCAAGTTTAGGAAGAAGAAAGCCCCAGTGATGACTGCGAAAACTTCAATCAGATTTCTCTATGGCTTGCACTGAATAAATCTTAAAATGTTGCTTTTAGATTACCCACAGTCTTAAGATTTTAGTCTCCTCATTTGTTCTGAAGCCTTACAGCGAGCATTTACAACCAAATTTCTGTGTGTGTGTAAAGGATTTTCTCATCTGAGACTCCTTTGGGGAAAAACATAAACGAAACAAACTTATGCAATTTGTGAAAGACGTTGAGGGTTGAAATAATAGAGAACCAAGTGCAAGGAAGTGTTTATAAGGGAAAAGTGGGAAAAAATAAGTTAACTTTTAATATTCTTTGTTTTCCTGGAAAACCTGTGGTTTGGTTTCTCCTCTGTGCCTTGGGTGGCATAAGGATCACGGGTGCCCTAAATACTTGTTACCCTGGTGTGAAGCTTGGGCATTAAGGCAGTTCGTAAAAACTGGAAGAGATGGAAATACCCATCTGGAAGTCTGGCAGGTTCACTAGTGCTTCTTCTCCTGTCAGCGCTCTTGCACTGCCCGTTCTGTCACTGTAATGAGGAAGTAGTACAGATGCAGGTTTGGGGATTTTTGTGGCGCTTTCCTGGGACTGGGCGTTACCCTTTTCCTAAGGCAAAAGTGGCTGGTAAAACTGCCTTCTGTCACAGCTTTGACTTGCACAGCAGAATGCACTTCCTAGGTTAAGGTTTTCACGTGTTGGCGGTTCTGTCTCTCAGGGTTATGCGGGCAGTTGAGGAGACGACATCAAGCAACGTGTTTCCTTTCAAGTTAGTTCACATTAGCAAGAAGCACAGAACGTGGTTTTTTTCAGCGTCTTCTGAAGATGAAAGAAAGGTAACTCTCTTTTGCAATATAATTTTTCTCGAAGCAGAAAATGAATCTTGGACTTCCCTAAAATCTCAACGAACTGGACGCGCAGCTGTGGCTGAAATTTGTGTACCTGGTTCTTTGGGCTCCTCTGGCAATCGTGTCTGAAGTCTTGACTGTTAGGTTAGCGCTACTTCGTGTCGTAATTCAGGGAATGGCTCTAAGCAACGTACTGGATGGCCTGGTTTTCTCCATATTCCTCATTTTGTTTTCAGCCAAGGAACCAGTATTTGTGTGCTGAACTTTGATAAAACTGTTCAGTGAAGTATCTCACCCATAAATGTACCGTGAACAAGTACCTGGCCTTAGAAATAACAGCTTGAAATTTGCAAATGGAAAGTTTAACGTTTTAATGCCTTCGTGTGTAGCACTTCAGATAGTCAAAACATCTGACTGGCAAGTCCTCTCCATGCGAGGTCATGGATAAATAAAGACTGCCTCAGTGTGGGTTCTGCAGTTAGCCTCTTCCTACACAGGACAGATCCCCTGCAGCTTTGTGTAATGAGTTAAAGATGGATGTGTCGAACAGTGTGTTTTTATTCTTCTTCAGAACTGGATGCTGTCTTTGAGGAGGGAAATTGATCACTACCATGAGAAGAAAGAAACAATAGCAGAATTCAGGTATAAACCTTTAATCTTTATCTGCTCTTTATCCCCTTTGCACTAGCACCTGACAATAGTGTGTTAGGCTTTTTGCACCCACAAGTAATTTACTGTTAAATAAACAGAGGCACGGTAAGGCCCAAGAATGAAAGGCCTTCCTCCTACAGAGCTGCGAGAATGCCAAGAGAAAAACCAATCTTCGTATTAAGAGAACTTTAAATCTCAGCTCTGTGTAAAACAAACAAACTTAAAGACGGCAGGAACATACCTGGCTGTTAACTGGGAGATGGGGATGGATTGCTTCCGCTTTTCCAGCGTTCCTTTCCAGTGCAGCAGCCCTGCTACCAGAGACGTTTACTGCCCCAGGCACGGTGATGCAGAAGGTACTCTGTCTTTTTTCTTGCAGTGACTCTGGTTCTGATGCAGACAGTTTCTACGGCTCAGTAGAACGTCCCATCGATATCAAGTATTCTCATCACTCAGCAGATAATAATGAAGGTGATGAATTTAGACACTGATAAATAAGATTTGATGTGTTTGCTCATTTATTTCTTCTGGCTTCTGTGGGAATTATTTCCACAGCTTAGTCAAACTGATCCAATTTAGAACTATAAATTCTTCTTTTACAAGGTGTGTAGTTGCTGTAGTTTAAAATCGGAAGCAGATATTCTGTGCCACAAACCTTTAGTAAACATAAATGGTAACTGAAGAAATTCAGATCTTTCAAGGGGGTCTCCGACACCTTAATAATATTATTTAAAATTTTTATTAAGACTGCATATTGGGGAGTTTGTAGATGTAGCTGAAAGATAAAACTATTGAATATGTCTGTAGGGCATAGTGTAGAAATGCAAAGTGGCTTTATTACGATAATTGAGTATTATTGACGGTAATTGACTGTAATTACGATAACAGGATATCAGGCACTTAAAAGTACGTTCTGAAAACCTGGGGAGGCAATGCAGTAAAACACTGCAGAGCTAGTTACCTCCTGTCAGGACTGTGAAATGAACTCACCTGTCCTACAGCACAAGCAGTCGCCCACGCTGGGATGTTGCATCTGTGTTGTCTGTTTAGCATGAAACAGAACTGATCAGCCCCCCAGTTCAGGAGGATCTTGCATTAGATGTAGGACAGGCCTACGTGAAATGCATGGGCTAACCTTCTTCAGTGACTTCCAAACTGAATAACCTTTTCAAGCAAGGCTCGTAAAATCTCGCTCTTAGCACAGTCTATTTTATTCCAAGTGTGATACCTCTTTGTTGCTGTAGTTGTTCCACAGTAAACAGTTTGGGCTGAGTGTGTTTATTTTCTGGTGAAAAGTGAGGACGTTACAGAGGGCCTGTCAGGCGTTCACAGCATTTTTCAGCAACTGACCTGGTCAAGAAATGTGTTGGCAAAACCCAGCAGGAGCCTCTTCACCTCAAGGGTCAACATAGTTCCTTTGCTAGGCCTTCTCCCACCTGCCCCCTCAGATTTCTAAGGGCAGGGTTGGTTGGAGCAAGTGCTCTCATTTCCTGAAAGGAAATTCCTGACTGTTTTTCCTGACTAGGGCAAAAAGATAGGATTGAGTCCTTCTAGGAAATCCGGTTCAGTTGCTGCAAAGCGGAGGAAAACACTCATCAGCATTTTGTGTAGGACTGTAGTTTAATACTCCTGTGTTTATGGGAAGGAAGGCTTGCATGGAATATGAATTACAAGGCCTAGCAGGAGTTTAAATTAGGACAATTAGAGCTAACTGACTTTTATTAGATGCTCTCAACTCTTTTTAGCCCATTTCCCTGGGGAAATACTGCGTATTGTCCACGAGGCTCCCATCATAGTCAATAATGAGAAATTACTGCCTGAAGGTAGCATGTTTCTCATGTCATGATTATTCTGTTGTACAGTTAAAGGCAACATTGAAACCATTGAAGGCATTTGTTGCGGTGCACTTTTTTGTTGCCAGAGCAAGGCAGAAGAATTAATTGTACTGTATATCACTAGGCTTGCTTAAGCTTCTGTATTGCAAAGTCGTAAGTGTTTCTGGTTTAGAAATAGGTCTTGGGGATTACTTTTTTCCCAACTGGTTTTGCCAGAGCATCCATGTAGTCTGCAACTGATCTGAGTTTTTCTCAGGAAGTCTCTAATGCTAGAGGGTGTCACCAGAAAGTACATTTTAACTAAATATTTTCTGTCTTTCACGTGCAGTGTAGTTCACCTCCCACTGTGGTAAACGATGGCTTGATGGACATCAAAATTTAAGGAAATACCTGTTCTAAATAGCTGAGAGGTGGACCAAAACTTAAAAATTTTTTTCACCTCTTGGGAAAAAAAATAAAGTTGGAAAATACTTATTAAAAGGCCATAAATAGACAATACTCTTTCTTGGTTCCAGGAGTACTTACCTGAGTCTGACACACTGATTTTTATCTGCAGATTACGACCAGGAGGAGGAGGAGGAGTCTTACCTGCAGCCAGACACTTCTGACCTAGTGAAAGATGGTACGTGACTTCCTTCATTCCCCTCACAAAAGGCCCTGTGCAAGGCCCCCAGTGAAGGCAACGTTCATGTAGAAAGCCAGATGATTATTTTGGCTTGGTTCTGTCCAAAGCATTGCAGGCGGTAAAATAACTGAGCTAACGCACAGGTGTCTGATCTTGAGAGAGGCTTGGGGTCAAAAGCCTCCAGTAACAGCAGTAACAACTACAGGCAGTGTTAGGTGCCTTTAAGAGCACGTTTTCTTGCAGGCCTCCTGCCCTGTAAGGACCTGTAGCTGGTCCTCAGTCTGGAGGAGGGGCAATGCTTTTAATGTGATCTTTTGCTTTAGTTTTAGCAAAGGGAAAACTCTGCAAAGTCATCATAAGCCATGCCTGAATAAAAATTGCAGGGGTTTACTAAACATAATTTCAGCGCAATTCTGGATGTTAAGTGCTCATCCAGCTTTCTGGGTACTATCAGACCAGATGCCAATGAAATATCTTAATAAATCACACAGAAAATAAATTTGAAAAGTCCCATTTGTTGACATACTGTGTTTTCCCCTCAGTGTTTCATGATGTTTTTAATGTTTTTTTCTGTAGATATGGTCCTGCCCCCAGCCTACCCACCTCCACCAGTTCCCCATGTCAGAAAAGCTGCCTACTCAGAATCAAGGACAAACTCCTTCGCTGGCAAACCTGCTGTGCCAGGACCACCACCACCTCCTAAAAGAAGCTTACCTGATATCAAACTAGAGGATCTGTTAAGCTCGAGAGAACCCCAGTTACAGTGCCGAGCTGAACCTAATCTAAAGATTCATCCCTCAAGCCGGAGACTGAGCGACCAGCTGCCCCCCGTACCCCCCCTGCCGCTTTTCAAAAAGCCAGTGTGTGTCAAAGAATCTTGCTCATTGCCTCCAGAGCCTCTGCCTCTAGCTCAAGTTCTCACTACTCCAGACGGATGCGAGAAGCTGAAAACCTTAAACCTTTCACCGCGAACTCCTCCTCCACTACCAGGCAATAAACCCAAGCTGTCACAGTTTACTGAGCCCAAAGAACATGGCAAACCTGGACTGTTTGTGCCACCAGTGCTCCCAAAGCCACCTGTGCCAAGCCACCAGCACCCTGGAATCAAGCCTAGGTCAGAGAAGCCTTCATGTTCCCTGTTACAGTAAGTATGGAAATACAGTGCACTCCAAACTTTTTCCATCGTGTGTTTAGTTGACTAGTTGACAGACACGTTTCAGATTCACACCGATAGCTGTTTCCTTCCCTGCACCATCCCTCTATTCCTCAGTGTTGTGCTCTTTTGCCTCGTTGTTTGTTGTTTGTAAACTTTGCAGTGAGTTTAGCCTCTGAAATGGTTCAGAAAGAAATACATAAACCAAACTTAAAAAATAACATTACACCATAATTTTGCAGTTAACTTCTTTTCAGGCGTGTCCTAGAGACTTAATAGTCGTTTGATAGTACTGAGTAAGGAACCTTTATGTTAGAACCTCAGCGTACTGCAAAAACAATTTCAGCTTCTGTGGAGGTAGCAAATGTGTTTCACTTCATGTGAAGACCGGCTTTAGCAAGGGATGTGGAACTCATTATGGTGGCGAGTCAGATGAAAACACTTTTGTCCATTGGGTTGTTGAGCAGCTCTGCAGAACAAGAAATAAACTCTTCAAAGGCAGGAGGCCATCAAGAAAGATACAGGGAGTGAGCCCAGTGGAAGGCCACCAAGACATTTGGGCTGTAGCACACGAGGTGTGGGAAGAGGCTGAGAGAACCGGGTTCCTTCAACCTTGAGGAAGGCTGGTGGGAGATCACTGCTGTCTACAGCTACTTAATGGGTGGGTCTGGAGGAGATAGGGCAAGACCTCAGAGGGCTGCAGGGGCAGCGTAAGAGGCAACAGGCGAAGTCACAGCTTGGGAAATGACAGGTGAGTGTTAGGGAAAACTCTGCGCCATGCAGATGGTGAAACACCACAACAGGTTCCTGTGGAGAGGCTGTGGGATCTCCATCCTTGGAGATACTCAGAACTTGTGTAGACTTGGCTACCTGATCTAGCTGTACCTGCGTTGTGCAGGAGCTTGGACGAAATTATCATCGTCTGCAGGTCCTTTCCAACCTAAATGAACCTGCGGTTCGGGCCTAAACTGAAACTTGCTCTTCAGTTCTAGTTTTATTATCCCGTCAGTGTTTTGTGTGTTTGCTCTGTCTCCTTGAGGAGATGCCCTTCAGTTTTTGCTCTGTTTCTGCCAGGAGATCACCACCAGATGGACAGAGTTTTAGAAGCTTCTCCCTTGAAAAACCAGCACTACCCTCCAAGCCAAAACAACCTGATGATGATTCTGATGATGACTATGAAAAAGTAAGATCAAGCAGATAATCCATTCTCAATGAGTATTTTTCCTTATTATGTAAACTTTTGGGAATATTTTACAGGCATATTTCTGGAAAAAAACCCCAAACTTCCTGAAATGAGCACTGTGTGATTTTTATTACCCCCTTGCTTTAAGGAATGCCTTTAAATCCTTGTTTCTAATATTAGATGTAAAGGAGGAAGAAGCATAAAGTCAAGATTAAACCACCATCAATACTTTCAGATGCTGGTGGCTGTAGCTAATTTGCATAACGAGCTTCTAGCATTTGATTTGTCATTGACTTACATGAAAATTTATTTTCTTCGTTTTTTACAGGTTGGGCTGCCGGCATCGATATTTCTTAATACCTCTGAATCCTTCGAAGTTGAAAGGTAGAATGTGATTTTAAAATAGTTGCTTAGAAGTCCTACAAAAACCTGTACTGAAGAGTAGTCAGAGATCATCCTGATAGGTACAATTCGTGTTTAAAAAGGCAATAATAGTATTTACATTCCTTTCATATGGAAATCACTTTCTGGGAGATTTAGTACAGTGCTCATGGATCAAATGAAAATACATGCTACTTGGAAAGCAACTTTGCTCCATCTGGAGAAGGTTGTTCTGCCGGGATGTGCTAGGTGGGGCAGAAGGCCAGATCTGCTGTGCTGTGTTGCTGGTTGAGGTGTGAGAACAGGGAAATCTTCAGCTATGGCGTGCTGAGAGTCATTGCAACTGACACAGAGTTGTGTAATAAGAATTTTAAGATCTAGCCATTTTACTTATCTGATACAGAAAATGCTAACGTGTAATTGCTGTATTATTTTTAGGACCTTTAAAGCTAGTAGCCCACGGCAGCAACCACAAAATGGATTGTACTGTATTAGGAACTCGTCTACTAAGCCTGGAAAGGTAACTTGTGACTGCTGAATCTATCCCCCAAAACTCCTGTTTGATTTAGAGATACTGTATCTTATATATGATTAACTACTTAATAATTTAGATGTGCTGTTTCCTTAACGCAAGAAAATCGGGGCAATCAGTATCATAACTTGAATGATATTTTCAGGCTGGTTTGTAACTAAATCCTTAATAATACATGACCTTAGAAGAGCTTATTAGCATAGGGTGAATATGTTGTGTTTTTCTTCAAGGTCTTGGTTGTGTGGGATGAATCTGCAGAAAAAGTGAGAAACTACAGAATCTTTGAAAAGGTTAGTAGCTGCATTGTGTGTGCAAGTATTTGTATGTGCACATGTACACGTATGAATTTCACGGGTGTGTGTACTTCTATAAAGTGTGCATGTGTCTCGGTACGTATTGGAACAAACAAGTCAAACTCCAAATTTCTTCCCGTTCCTAGAAGTAAAGATTAGTGCACTTACAAATGCCTGGTCTAGGACAGGAGTTTGAGGACTCTGATCTGGCCTTTGTAGTTGCTGTATTGTGCAAAAGACAAACTAGCTGGAAATGTTCACATCTAAATTTCAGTTCCAATCAAATCTTGAAGGAAGGAATATTAAATTCCTGAGTTTAATTGGGACTTACTCATGTAGGTGACTAGTTTGCAAAGCAGGAGCTTGTTTAAAAGTACTTCTTTGTTCTGATGTTGTGGGTTTTGGTTTTTTTAAACATTGAGTTGAAAAAAGTCCTGTCAATGATTACATGTGTGTTTGGTCTACAACAGGATTGCAGGTTTTACCTGGATTCAGACATCATGTTTTTGAACATGGGGAGCTTGGTGGAATACTATAGCACTCATGTCCTACCCAGCCATGACAGCCTCATTCTTCAGTGTCCTTACGGTTACTCGAAGCCCAGGTGACATGACTGGCATCGGTCACCGACGCTTAGGACAGGCGGGTTCCCTACTGCCCGTGAACTACATGTGGACTCCTGGCACTGCTGGACATCCTGTTGTTTGCACACAGAAACTGAGTCTGTTTCAACCACACGAATTCTATATAGACTCCATTTAATGAACTCTTGGCAAAACCTTACAATCCAGCTCAGTGGATTTTACATTCTTTTCTTTTAAAAAGATCTGAACTGATTATGCTGTGAAAGCTGTCTGTGATACCTACACCTTTTATAAAACTGCTGCTATTACTAATCTTCTTGGAATGTGGAAGATAGACATGAACAAAGAATCCAGCCAACACAGAAAAAGGGAACTCCTGGAAGTATTTCAGGAGTCACTTGTGACAGGGAATACTAATATTCTGACTTGAAGGTGTTACTCCTTAAGTCAGCACTGGTGCTTTACTAAGAGTTTTTGTGTTACTTGTATAGTTGACGTGTAAATAATGAAGACTTCTGTGCAGATAACTTGGTTTACTCTAGGTAAAGATGACCAGGAAATGTGGCTTTTTTTTTCTTAAGCCACCTCAAAATGTAAATCATAGGTTCATAGAAGGGTTTGGGTTGGAAGGGACCTTAAAGACCATCTAGTTCCAACCCCCTTGCCATGGGCAGGGACACCTTCCACTAGACCAGGTTGCTCAAAGCCTCATCCAGCCTGGCCTTGAACACTTCCAGGGATGGGGCATCCACAGCTTCTCTGGGCAACCTGTTCCAGTGCCTCACCACCCTCTCTGTGAAGAATTTCTTCCTGATATCCAATCTAAACCTTCCCACTTTCAATTTAACCCCGTTCCCCCTTGCCCTGTCACTACAGACTCTTGTAAAAAGTCCCCTCCCAGCTTCCTTGTAGCCCCTTCAGGTACTGGATGTACCTTCTGATTACAATGCCTGCAGTAATCGGTGTCAGGGTACTAATCTGACTGAGAAGGTTGTGGCATCCCACATATCACTTAATGACACACACTTCAGATAACAACTGATTTGGCTTTCATGGGAGCCCCATTACTTAATTCTGGACTGCCAAGGTAGGTGCCACTAGTATTTGTAATGAGTATGAGACAAGAGAAAGGACTACTTAACCGTAAGGGCAAGGG